ATGGTTCTTGCAAGAGTACCAAGGATCCCCAAATTGCCAAATCCCATGGACACTTTTAGTCTTTATAAATTTTGGCCTTTGGTACTGCACAGTATTCCTTTCTTCATCTTCATCTTGCTTAGCTTTTTTTTTTTTTTTTTAAATCTTCCTTAACTTTTGAAATAACATTTTACCATGGGTTTTCTCTTTTCTTTCTAGTGGTCTGTCTTTACTGATCTTCCCTGGTTTCTCTGCTTCTTTTCTCTCTGTCCTGAAAATACTGCTGTGTCCTAAATTCTAGTTTATTGGTCCTTCACTTTCTTTTCTCTTTTCAATTAATATGTTTTCCCCGAATGATTTTACTGCCAACTATGTGTCAATAACTCTGTGTTTATAACTCTACTCTGAGTTTTTTCCCTACACTCCAGACCGTTTTTTCATCAATCTTTTGGACATTTTTTCTGAAGCTGTGTTTCAGGCCCTTTAAATCCGTTAATGCCCTTATCTCAAATTTGCTTTCCCCCTGTATTCTCCACCTTGGTTAATGGTATTTATTTTCATCAGATTGGAAATGTGAGAGTCAGCCATCCGCTTCCCTCATTCCCCATCTACAGTCTCTCAGGTCTTATCTCTGTCTCTTTCTTTCTGTCTTCACTGCTGTTCTTTGGTTCAGTTTATAACATTATTCTTACCTCTAGACTAAATCACTCTAGTCACTCCTCCAAGTTTCTGTCAACGTGATTTTCTAAAATGCACCAATGATCTTGTCACCTGTTGTTTAACACCCTTGTTTACTCATTACCTGAATGATTATGTTCTTTTGTGTTTGTGTGAAAAGCTTCTGAGTTTTGATCTGGTACTAGCCTGCCTTTGTAGCTCTGCTTGTTGCTTCACTGCACACTCCTGAGCTGGAATCACTAAGAATTACAACACATGCTGTTTTCTTCTTTTAGGGAAGAGAATGGTTAGGTTTAGGTAGTATTTCCTGCTTAATTGATAGTACAGAATAATCGTTAAAATCCTGGACTCCAGAGACATACTATCTGGAATCTAAACCCAGCTTTGCCATTTTTAGTAGGTAGCAGTGTTATTTTGGGCAGGTTACTTAATTTCTCCCTGCCTTAGTTTTCTCAACTATGAAATGGAAATGGAGTTGTTATGAAGAAACTCCATACATTTTGCTGTAAATGCTCTCTCTACTCCCCTGACCCCTCCTGTTCTGTCACATGGATTTGTTTACTCTGGATAGGTCATATAAATGGGGTCATACGATAATGTGGTCTTTTGTGTCTGGCTTTTTTCACTTAGTGTTATGTTGTCAGGGTTCATCCATGCTGTAGCTTGTATCCTTTTCGTAGCCGTATAATATTCATTTTATGGCTCTATGACATTTTAATACCACTTTTTAAAATTACTCATCAGTTGATGGACATGCCTTTGTAGCTTTTTAAAGAAAGTTTGTTTTATTTTTTTTAGATTGTGGACTATGATAATTCAATTTATGTACTCATGAAATAATTTATTTAGTTCCTGTAGTGCTAACCTTTACATAGGGTTATGTAGTTTTACTTATTTAATGTGCTCGCATCTAGGAATTCAAAGATGAGTAAGCTTTGCCTACAGGGAGCTTTTCTTTCTAGTGGAGGAAACTGGCATATAAACAGATAAAGTACAGTGTGGAAAATACTATTAGATTTATAACCTAAAGTAAGTGTAATCTCAGAAGTCAGCAACTAACTACTGGCAGTGCTGGCAGAATTAGTAAAGGCTTCCATGGAGGTGAGATTTAAACTAGATCTTTAAGAATGAATGGGAGTTTTGCCAAGGTGGTTGAGGATATTTCAGGTAGAAGTAGTAGCTTACACAAAGGCGTGGAACTGAAATTGTCTGGTGTGTCTTTGCACCTTTGAGAAGATCACTGTGTTGGTATTATGGGTAATGTAAGGTAAGTCTGGAAAGGTAGATTAGGGCTGGATTGTGAATATTTCTATATCTATGCAAAGGAATTTAGCTGTTATTCTTTGTGTGTCTTGGAGATCCCAGGGGGTTGGATGAATGAGATGGCGGCCTCTACTCGTTGAAGGTCTGATGGAATACCTCACATCCAGCAAAGCCTAAGTTTTCCTTTTTTTCAGAAAGTTTTGTACATATAGTCACTTATAAAAATCAATATACCTCGCTGACTCACACACCATCCTCTTACTACCACATCTGTCACAGTTTATTGATTCCCTATTTAGATTTCTTTATTTCATCAGCTACTTATCTGGAATTATCATGTCTATTTATTTCTTTACTTTACTACTACTATTTCTTGCTTCTAGAGCAGGTTCTTACTTACCTTGCCCTAACCAGTGCTTCGTACATGGTAGGCACGTATCTGTATTAAATGAATGAATGAAGGAACTATTTTGCCTCTAAAATCTTAAGTCTAGTTTTCTACCCTATGATTGTGGTTTCCTCTTTCTTATCTCCCTGCCTCCCCACTATAGCTGTTCATGTTATTTCAGCACTTTGACCCCCCTGCCTCCATTGTCTTCTAATCTGTTAGCTTCCCCCTCCTCACTTTCTTATCTGAATAGCATAGATACTCCTCTCCATCGTTCCAGCTATTTTTTGTCTTTTGCTCTATTTCCAAGGCTCCCCTTTGCTTTTGTCCTATCTCCCTATCAAAATCCTTACCTTGGCTCAGTCTGATCCAAATTGAAGAGGAGTGTTTGCTAGAGAAAATGACCTAACTGTGTAGTTTGTGGCAGGTACATATTCATAGTCTTAAACTTGTAGACTTCCAGCATTGCCCAGAAACCTTATGTTTCCTAGTCAACGTATTCTTTCCCCATATCACTGTTCTGTTTTTTACTCTCTGCTATTCCCACATTTTACAACCTTTCCTTTATTTCTCTTCATCTACTTTACAAAGAAAATAGGGTTCTTAGAATGAATTTTCTCAGCATTTTACCTTAGTATCTACAGTTCTTTCTGTATCTATGTCCATCTTTGCCTCCTTTCTTTCCAGTCCTAGAAAGGATTATCCTTCCTTCTCTTTGAAACTAATCCTTTGACCTGTACTTTATACCTATCCAACTCCACTTCTTCAGAGGCCTTGTTTTGTCAGTCACCATCTCCCTTCCCCTTCATAATCTTTGTCATCAATATGTAAATATGTTCAGATGTGTCCTATTTAATAGCAAAATAGCTATCACTCCATGATTGTTTTTCTTTCTTTCCTTGACATTTGTCTTAAATTCACTATTTTCTCTGTTCTTCAGTCCTCTGCGATCTGACTTGTTGTACTTTTTATTCCTTAGAAGTGTCCTTGCCATGGTCACCAATGATTTCTTTGTTTCTGAAGCTAGTGGATGCTTTTTAGCGACTGCCATGGTATTTCTTCCTCTCTAAAATGCTCTTCTAGTTTCCATAAGACCTCTTTCTTGATTTTCATTCTATGTTGGTGTGTTGGTTTTTTTTCCTTCACACAACAGCAAACTACAGTTTAGTAAGTCAGTTCCTAACACAAACATTTACTAAGGATTAGACAGGAGAAAACTAAAATTCTATTTACTGTCAAGAATTTGGAATGAAGATGTTTTACATTGCCAATTATGGGTCACTTAAGATGCATTGATGAAGTTAGGGTTAAGGTTCTCTTAAGGAGATGAAGGAACCCAATCAAGAGTTGTAACTGATGGATTGTGAGGAATTGACCATTTAGCCTGACATAACTAACAACAAACAGCTCCAGGAATGGGTGTTCTCCTATGTGTTAACACCTGTCCCGTCAGTTGTAGTGTATTCAGCTCACTAGTTAGTATCTCCACCATATAGTTCATTGTTTTCTCTTTCTCTCTACTCCCTTATCTTACTCACTTCATTAATTTTTTTAATTGTGACAAAGAATGCATATATAAAAGTACATTAAAAAATGCAGTGGCTTTTTTGGTACTCTAAAGTGAATATTGAGGTAAGCACTGTCCAGACTAAAAATAGAACACAGTGCCCCAGTCTACCTGCTATGTTCCCTCCTGGTTATACCACCATCACTTCCCAACCTTATCTTGATAGGTAACCACTCACCAGACTTTTGAAACCATCACTTCCTTTGTTTTCCTTATAGTTTTAAAAACTAAATATGTTTCTCTGCCTAAAACGTTACCTGATTTAAACCTTGTATAAATGGAAAAATATAGTAACTCTGGGTAGGTATGTGTGTTGTGTGTGTGAGAGTATGTCATTGTCTGATTTCTTTTGCTCAGGGTCTGTGTTTTTGTCTATAGTTGAAGTTCATTCATTGTATTTGTTGTGTCTGAATATATTTATTTGTAGTCTGAATATACCATAATATGTTTATCCATTCTATTCTTGAGGAACCATTTGTATTTTTCCATGACAGTACCTTTATGAAGATTCGATATAATGGAATGGAATGGAATTGCTGGTAAAACTTAAAAATCAGTTATATTAGATTTTGTCTATTTATTATATAGATTTAAAAAAACTATTCTCTAAGAAGAGTGAGCCAGTTTTTACTCACACCAGCTTTGTATGAGAATTTCCACTGCATTTGGCTTCATCACTTTTTTTGTTTTTCTTTTATAAGTACTTAGCTGCTATTCTATAATCTGAAAACTGTTTCTGTCTTTACATTTCTATATAAAGAATCAAAATAAAACTGTCTAAAAATATGGATTAATATTATACCATCTGGATTCATGCCATGAAGCAATATGTATTTTCATTGTATTAAATATAGTCACATATTTTTATTTGGTTAACCATTTTTAGATTCAAATGGGTTGACTATATTGTATGCACTTGCTACAACTTTTATTTTACTTTTTAAGCTACAATGCCATTGCTATATAAGTTTTTAGTCCTAAATGGTGGTATTTAATAAAAAGTACTTCTTTATATACTTTAGCAATAATACAACTTAGGGTTTTATTATATAGGTTTTATTTCTAGGAATTTATGTGGAATATTTATGAGAGTAACTAATGGACCTATTTTTTTTTTCTTTAAAGTTGGCCTTTGCCAGAGTTTGATCCAAGCCAAATTCGACTGATTGTATATCAAGACTGTGAAAGACGAGGAAGAAATGTCTTGTTTGACTCCAGTGTTAAGAGAAAAAATGAGGACATATCAGTATCGGTGAGCATCGTAATTGATTTGGTTGAAATTTAATGTCATATGTTTTAATTCAAGAAAGAATGAGTAAAATTTCAATTATGGCACTTTTGTTTGTCAGTATAAAACATCTTTATCATGTTTACAAAATTTAGAACCTTGATTTTGAAAAATTTTAAAGGAAAAACACTTCCTTTATTTGCTACCATTCTAGCACCAGGGAGCATTATAGTTTCATATTTATTTTCCTACATAATTGTATTGTCAGATATGACTAGAGCTTTAGGGATCCTTATAGAGGATATGGCCCAAACCTCCCATCTTACAGTTGTGGAAAGTGTGACCTGGAGAGATGACATTATTTGTCTGAAGGAGCAAAGCAAGTTAAATCTCTCGCCCTTAGTCCCCCTGCTACAGTGTAAAAAGAGCATCTATTTTGTTAACTTTCAGTGTCATATTTTGAAATATATTATGACTAGTTTAGCAGTAGTACATGGACATTCACTTGGTTGTTCAAGGAAATGTTAACCTTAAAAATAGACCTGCCAGTTATTTTACCAGCCAAAGATGGGTTTATTTGGGAATAAAAAAGAATTGCAATCCGGGACAAACAAGCTGTGGCAAAACCATAGACAAGTTGGAAAGAACAAAGGAGAGATGTGCTTTTTTAAGGAGAAAAAGGGTAGGCTGGTAGGCACTAAAAGTCCACTGGGGTAAACTGAGGAGCTTGAAGTGTCATGGCTTCTCATAGGTGGAGCTGCTGAGGAGGGCAGTACCAGGGGTGAAATGAAAAAGTGTCTGTTCCTCAGCTGGAGTAGTAGAGTAGTATCCACATGCAAGGTCAGGTCCTTGTAAGGTCAAGTCTTTCTTTTCCTGTTGGGTCTGCAATTAGCTACGAGTAGGGCATGAGAGCTACCCCTGCAGAACCTCCAGACTCCCTTTACTAACTTTCACAAAAACCTAGGTGATTGTCATTATCTTTGCTGCTGCTACTGTTACTATATTTTCTGGCATAAAGACTCATTCCCCTAGATCTATATACTCTGGGAATTGAAGCTTGGAATAGTGTTTTCTCCCTTTCTCTAAATTAATAATTTCACTAACATTTTGGTAAACGACTGAAAACAGAATACTTTGGGAAAGCTTTTCCTACCAATAGAATTGTCTGTTAAAGCAAACAAATAGGGGCGCCTGGGTGGCTCAGTTGGTTAAGCGACTGCCTTCGGCTCAGGTCGTGATCCTGGAGTCCCGGGATCGAGTCCCACATCGGGCTCCCTGCTCGGCGGGGAGCCTGCTTCTCCCTCTAACCCTCCCCCGTCTCACGTACTCGCTCTCTCTCATTCTCTCTCTCTTAAATAAATAAATAAAATCTTTAAAAAAAAGCAAACAAATACTTGTTTTTTGAGACTTTAGGAGTTTATATTTGAGGTTTTGTGTTCTTAAACATATATTGGGCATAGTCTATTTATAACTGCATGCTCAGCATCAACTACAGTGGTATATAATAGGAACTTGACTAATTTTTTAGTTATTTTGATTGTCAAGTTTTATAATGTCCCTTCTAATTACTAACACATTGCTCAGTTTTCTGGAGATGGTGCTTTGTTTAGATTTCTTAGCCATTCTTCACATACTTTTTTGCAGTGTTTTAGAAAAAAGAATGTTCTTAAAGTGTTGTTTACTTGTACAAATAAGTATCTCCAAGTACAAGGCACTTGGAGATTTAGCCATATCTGTCCTCTTGGTGCCTACAATAAGGTACCCTTCTTCTAGGGGAGTTAGACATTGAACAAAAAAGTACACCAGTAGTACCAAATAATGATTAAATGCTTGAATGAAACACACAGAATGCTTACGAGATTGCATAGGAAGGAACCTAGTTTTCATCAGTTTGTATGTAGGGATATTAAGGAAAGTCTCATTGAGGAAGTGAAATTCAAGCTGAGATTTGAAGAATCTCATGGAATCGGGGGTGAGTATTCCTGGTAGCAGGACTTGCAAATGCAGTCTACAAAGTGACTTGGAAGCTTGGTGAATTGAAACAACTAGAAGAACACCAGTCTGGCTGGATTGATGTAAGTAGTATGTAAAGTAGCTAGAGATGAAATTGGAGAGAGAGAGAGAGGGAGTCAGAGAATTTAGAGCCTTATCAGTCTCTGAGTTAGAAGTTTGAGATTATATCCTAAATACAGAAGGAGGCCCCTGAAGGGATCTTGTTTACATTTCAAAAAATCAGTTTGGTAGAGAGCCCAGAAATAAACCCATGCATATATGATCAGTTACTCTATGACAAAGGAGCCAAGAATATATAATGGAGAAAGGATAGTCTCTTCAACAAATGTTGGGAAAACTGGACACAGTCACATACAAAAGAATGAAATTAGACCACTATCTAACACCGTACACAAAAACTGACTCCAAATGGATTAAAGACTTGAACATAAGACCTGAAAGCATAAAATTCCTAGAAGAAAACATGGGCAGTAACTATCGATGGGAGAAAATACTTACAAAGCATATATCCAATAAGGGGTTAATATCCAAAAAATATAAAGAACTCAATAGCAGGGGCACTTGGGGGAGCGGTGGGGCTCAGTCGGTTCAGTAGCTGCCTTCGGCTCAGGTCATGATCCCAGGATCCTGGGATGGAACCCTGTGTCAGGCTCCCTGCTCAGTGGGGAGTCTGCTTCTCCCTCTGCCTCTACACCTGCTCATGCTCTCTCTTGTTCTCTCTCCTTCTTGTAAATAAATTAATTAAAAAAAAAAAAAACCTCAGTAGCAAAACAAAACAAAAAACCCCAAACAAGTGCAATTAAAAAATAGAAGATTTGTATAGACATTTTTCCAAATAAGACATACAAGTGGCCAATAGTACATGAAAAGGTGCTCAGCATCACTAATCATCAGGGAAATGCCAATCAAAACCACAGTGAGATATTACCTAACACCTGTCAGAATGGCTATTATTAAAAAGACAAGAAATAACAAGTGTTATTTGTTGTTGAGGGTGTAGAGAAAAAGGAACCCTTGTGCCTGGTTTATGGGAATGTAAATTGGTGCAGTCACTATGGGAAACAGTATGGGGGGATCTTCAAAAAATTAAAAATAGAACTACCATGTGATACAGCATTTCCACTATTGGATATTTATGCAAAGAAAATGAAAACACTAACTCAAACAGATAAATTCACCCCCATGTTTATTTCAGCATTATTTACAATAGTCAAGACATGAAAGCAACCAGTTTCCATCAGTGGATGAATGGATAAAGAAAATGTGGCGTATATATACAACAGAATATTCTTCAGCCATAAAAAAAGAAGGAACTCTTGCCATTTGTGACAACATGGATAAACCTTGAGGGCATTATGCTAAGTGAAATAAGTCAGAGAAAGATAAATACTTTATGATCTGACTTATATGTGGATTCCAAAAAAAATTAAAGTCATAGCTTATGGACAATAGGTGGATGCCAGAGGGAGAGTATGGGAGATGAGCATGGGTGACAGATGTCAAAAGGTACATACTCTGAGTTATAAGTCATGGGGATGTAATGTACAGAATGATGATTATAATTTAAAATTCTGTATTGTATATTTGAAAGTTGCTGAAAGAGTAAAAGTTATAATCACAAGAAAAAATTTCTAAGTCTGTATAGTGATGGATGTTAACTAGATTTATTGTGGAGGTCATTTTGCAGTGTATAAAAACATCAAATCATTATGTTGTACTCCTGAAACTAATATAATGTTATATGTCAATTATATCTCAGTTTAAAAGACAATAGGGAAAAAAATCACTTTTGCTGCTATCTGAAGAATGGCTGGATATGGGGGATAAGGGAGAAGGAAGTGTTTGGTGAATCCAACACTTCACTTTGAATAGCTGAGTGATGAGATAGCCGCACAATCAGAGAATTGTGGATGGTTAAGCAGACAGTTGAAATCTAAGGCTGCAAATGTGATAAGCGTATCTTCTTTGCATTTAGACTGCTGATAGCTCAGCAGAACTACGCCGAAGCTGAAGGTTGATATTGATTGCTTTGATTTTTTTTTTTTTTTAGGAAATATTTATTGAGGTTTTTTTTTTTGGTTGATAGTGTTCCATTGGATTGCAGCATATGACTTTTCCTTTATTATTTATCTTGATTAATGCTTATTTATTGTGGGTTTTTTTTTCAGCATTCTTACTTTTTTTTTTTTTAAAGATTTTATTTATTTATTTGAGAGAGAGAGAATGAGAGAGAGCATATGAGAGGGGTTAGGGTCAGAGGGAGAAGCAGACTCTCCGCCAAGGAGGGAGCCCGATGCGGGACTCGATCCAGGGACTCCAGGATCATGACCTGAGCCGAAGGCAGTCGCTTAACCAACTGAGCCACCCAGGCACCCGCATTCTTACTTTTTTAAAAAAAGATTTTATTTAAGAGAGAGAAAGGGAGAGATAGCGTGTGAGAGAGAGCACGAGCAAGGGGGGAGGGGCAGAGAGAGAGGGAGAGGGATAAGCACACTCCCCGCTGATCAGGGAGCCTGATGTGGGGCTCAGTTCTAGGACCCTGAGGTCATGACCTGAGGCAAAGGCAGTCGCTCAACCCACTGAGCCACCCAGGCACCCCTCAGCATTCTTACTTTTTATTTTAAAGAGCCTTGTAAGTCTTGACTCATGTTGTTTCCTGAACCCTCCCTCCCCACCTTTTCTGGAATGATGCTTCATTAGTCACATTAGTCTTCTTTCTTGATGAGGGCTTCCTTTTTCCCTCTCAGTTAGCTTTTTTTTCCTTTGTCTATAGACCTTCTTTACAAAGCCTCTTTACCCAATACCAACAAAATGATTATACTTTTACTTTCTCTTTCATGTGTGTGTTCTTTTGTCTTTTCCTGTCTCTGACTTTGTTCTTCTCACTCTTCCTTCTCAGCATCTGTTCCTGTCTCTCAGTCTCTCTGCTTCCCTATCTCTCAGGCTATCTGTCTGTTCTGTCTCTTGGTCTCTCCTTAATTTCTTTTCTTGGTCTGCTCCATGTCTCTTAG